TCATTATATTTATCATTGTTCTTATCATTATTGCGATCAGTATCATTTTCATTGTTATTACTACATTCATAAGTAGGACCGAATATTTGGATGTCCTTTTTTGTACAGTTTTATTTATACAATTGTTGTTTCTTATATTTCTATTGATGAGTACTTTTGAATTGTGTGCATCGATATATTATTAGGTTATTATGATTTTACTGGGAAGCTTTTACAATGAATTGGTTGTGAAATGAATATCTAAAGAGAAAATATGTTATTGTTTGAGTGTATGTGCTGGACACAAGACTCTATTAAAATCAAAATTGACAATTAAAGGAGAAATAAAGATCGCTGGAGAGAGGTAGAGGGAGAAAAGGTGCCATGAATTGACGGCAAAACCTCTCTCTCTCTCTCTCCTTTCTGCCCTTACAAGATCAGTGGTTTATGTAGTTATAAACTTTTTTTTTAAATATATATTGGGGCCTTAATGTAGTCTGATAAGGTGGAATGAAAATTTGGATAAAAACTGATATAGGATTGATAGTTTTTTTGTTTTTTAAACTCTTTTTCTTTTCTTTTTGTATGTGTGTCATTTGAAAATTTGGAAATATGGTTAGATTGATAGATTAATTTTTCTAAGATGAGCTATAAGAAAATATTTCTAGTTTTTTCCTTTTTTTCACAAATATAAAATGAAATAAAAGAGAACTGTGCTTCTGCTGACGATTGTAAATTTTAGATGAAAGATGGATATTTTTTTAAGGAAGTTGTGTATTTCTCTCTTCATTGGTGTTGCATCCCTGCTAGTCTGTTCAAGGCTGATGAATATTCATAATCTCTGTTTTTGAGAACGTGTATATTTCGCTTATGGTATTGTTCTTTTTCTCGCAGTTTTATTTATTTATTTAATTTTTTAAAAATCGAAATAAAGGTCTCACCCAAAGTCATCCTCTCCAAAAGCACTCTCTCAAGATAGCCTCGGAAGCTCACACGAAAAGGCATCGAGTTCGTCGTCATTCACATTTCTAGAGAGTCGGATTATGTTGTATATAGATTTGTATAATCTTTCTTCATTTTTGCATCTCTTCACAAGAATTTGAGCCATTCATTGATGTTTTTTTTTTTTTTCCACTCAGGAGAATACAACAGAATTTATGTATGAATGTCCTAGAACATTTAAATTATTTTTTTATATATCCTACATAATGGGTTTTGTGAGAATATTGTACATTAGGTGTAGTGATTCAGAAGAGTGATATATACTGATTTTGTAACGGCTAAGAAGGATTCCAGAAGAGGGAAGAACAATGGTTGTATTCTTGTAGTTATAAAACTCATACAGTAGTTGTTGTATACATTCTATTTAACTCATTTTGTTTGTATTTTTTTTTTTTTTTTTTTTTTTTTTTTTTTTTTTTTTTTTTTTTCTTCTGCCTAGACACACAAGTGAGTGAGTTCACCTTGGGAATGAGTGACATGCTGCTACTATTGCTACTACTACTCTTAATACCAAAAAAACAGCTTTAGAGAGACAGCATAAAGGGTCTTGAATTTAGTGCGCTCATCATTTTCATGATATAATGTAGTCATCCAGTTTTGCATATACATACACACACACACACATACAAACACATACACCAAAGACTCCAAAAGTTTATATATTACATAGGTTTTGTTATCCTGTAGTTATTAAATTGGTACTATGTATATAGCCTAATGTTTTGGGAAAGTACGTTTTTTCTCTTTTTTTTCTTGAGTAATTATTTTTAAAGAAGTAACTTTTAAAACAAAATTTTGGAGAGCAATTTGTTTCATGAAAATATAGTCAGTTCTTCCTAAGATATATATATGCTTCACTATCTCAATATCATTAGTTGTTTTACCTCTATATTCGTGTTTCACCATTTTTAATGTAATGCCTTGGCAGTGAATGTGATATAAAGGGATTCTTATTAATGCTTCATGATTTGTTAAGAAGTCCTATTTGTGAGTAAGGGCTGGTTTAAAGATATATATCTTAAATAAAATTATTCAGATTATAAGAGGTATTTCTTATTATCCCATTACACACTCTATAAAGGAAAAGCTATTCACAGATGTCAGGTTTCACGGAACTTAAGATTTCATGGTAATTTACAGTCTGGGTATTACATAAAACTGCAGATTTTCCTAAAAATAATTTGCACTACATAATTCAAGAAGGTATATATTCTCAGGTCATATCAGTGATTAGACTTGCGTGTTAAAGCTGATTGTATTAAGACCATCTTCCATCCTTCTTTTGTCTCACTTCTGCACACCAAAACCACACTAAGAGGTCTGCTGTGGTCTGACCTCTTTTCCCTTGTGATATTTCTGTCCCTTCACCAACCCCTTCTACTGGCCCCTTCCTAAGGTGTGAGAGCCGTGCTGAAAGGATGAAAGGCTGACTTTGTGCCAGTCCTGAACAGCCAGAGGGAGCCATGGGCATGGTATTCCCCTGCTTAGTTGCCTAGCCCTTACCCCTCAAAGGGACCCTGGGGGGTGGACTGTTTCTCTCCCCAACATACTCCAAGCTTACCATGGCCAACAATGAAGATGTTATTCCACTATTAGGGGCAATGAGGCTTGCCCCTTCATCAAATAGCCCCAACAATTCAAACTCTCCCGATTCCCTAACCCTAGACTCTCCTTTGACCACGGTTCCGAACACTACAACTACTACCCCCTCTTCAATGCCTACTAGTACAGTATCCACCCTAGTCAACACTTAACCCCCAGTTGACATTTCTACTCTCCCATTATGCTCAACTTCAACACCTCTACCCCCGCAACCTTCAACAACTACCCCATCCTCCCTTATTGCTACTTTACAGTCTTATTGCCCACCTCTCCCTCAATACTACTCCCTTTTCCACACCCTCCGTCTTTCTACTACCCCCATCACTACAAAAATCTTGAATACTCTATTTAGCCCAGCCAAATGGGACCGATTTTTCGTGATCCTTCCCACAGCTCCCTACTCTGACAACACCTTTCTCTGCCAGCAGTCTCCAAAAACAAGTAGGCAAAGTCTTTTTCCGTAGCCGACCCGACCGTTCCCGTCTCGTCACAGTAACATCTAAAAACCAAGCTATAGCATTATCAAATCTAACTGATCTATATGGTAGACCCATTCTTGCAGAACCACATCCAACCCTCAATACTTGCACTAGAACTGTTTCTATCTCCCCAGCAAATTGCCCAATCTGTAACAAAAATTGGTCAGATTGTGGAGAAGACTCACTCGCCTGTCTCACGGACTATGATGCGACATCAGTACAATGCTACTCCATTCCTCCCAGAGGTCATCATAAGAACCCCACTAACATTGCCAAAATTACTTTCCGTAGACACGATCTTCCCTTTAATGTTTACATCGGTGGAGAATCCCTCCCTGTCTGACCATATCAACCTCCTCCTCGTCAGTGCCCAAATTGTTGGCGTTTAGGACATCCAGCCAAACATTGTCGTTCCACAGCCAGATGCCTGCTATGTGCCCAAACCTGGCCATACTCGATCAAACTGCTCTGCACAATCACGCACATGTGCCAACTGTGGTGGCCCCCATAATGTATTTTATAGGGGCTGCCCCACCTACAAATTTGAGTCTGAGGTGGCAACTCTCAGATTCAGACTTGGACTCACTCTACGTGAAGCCAGACAGGAAGCACGTCGACGAGGTTTTTCTCTTACTCCCTACTCCAGTAATGTCGCTCACTCTGCCTCTCCCCCTACCCTCCCAAGCTCCTACACCCTCTTCTACCTCCTACCTTCTCCGGTTAAATTCTTTTGCCATCCTAAATCCGGACACTCCAATCTCTACTACAGCCCCAACACCTTCCCCTCTCCCTCCCCGCACTACCCGCAGCAGACAGACTAAACGTTCCACCTCCTCTTACCCTACCACACAATCACCTCCACCTTTCTTTGCCCCTACACTTGAGACACCAGTCTTCTTTCCCCCCCTCACAAGAAAACCTTTGTCTCACAGAACTCCCCAACCAACTCCATTACAGAAACTCTTGAAGATATTCAAAAATATCTACTCGAGTCCCAAACTGACACTAAAACCCCTCATCCACTTTCAGATTCCACAACTCCCGCTCCTTCCACACTCAACGTGACAGCCGATATCCATCCACTTCCTACTCATATCCCCAATGCCAGGGATCACCCCCTACCTGAGGCCTCAGCCCTTGACTCAACTAATTTTGCATGCCTTTGTCTTCTTCCCCTCTCCTTTTCCTTCTATTTTCTAACCCTTTCTAGTATCGACTTCCTAAGGTGTGAGAGTCATGTTGAAATAATGAAAGACTGACTTTGTGCCAGTCATGAACGACCTTGGGGGGCCATGGACATGGTATTCCCCTGTTTAGTTGTTTAGCCCTTATATTTCAAGCGGACACTGAGGGGAGGACCATTTCTTTCCAAAACATACTCCAGGCTTACCATGGCCAGTAATAAAGATTTTGTACCTTTACTAGAGGCAGTGAGAATTGTCCCTTTATCAACTAGCCCCACAGATTTGAATTCCCCCGGTTCCCTGACCTCAAACGCTCCCTTGACCATGACTCTGAACACTGCTACTACCCTTCTTCAATGCCTACTGCCACCTCAGTCCAGTCCAAATCATCCACCCAGTTCATTACTCAACCTCCAGGAAATATTCCTCCTCTCTTAACATCTTCATCTCCT